ATGAACAAATCAAGAAATTGAGTTTGCCAAATACAAATTGATGACATTTTGGGATGATGGAATGTGAAGAATAAAGAAAAGATGCAAAGAAGTGGAAGATTCAAGTAAAATGACCAATTTGTTGGAAATGAAAGATTAATTTTACCATGCGGTCGCATGGTAGAAATGTCATGCGGCCGCACGAAGTGATGCAGGGAATTCAACTGGAAAAAGAGGATAACCATGTGGCCACACGGATTAAAACCATGCGGTCGCATGGTACAATTTCAGCACGAATCTTTTCTTTCCTTATATGATTGAAATACCTATGGAAACCTAATTTTCTACAGGATATAAATATCAAAAACTTTCCAGAGACGTCCAGAACGTAATTGGAGGCCCAAAAACAACTCTTGGAGAGGATTTGAGCGCAAGAACAAAGATTGGCACGAAGAACTTCAAGATTTATTCAAGTTTTATAACCCAGTGATATCTTATATACAAACTTTGATGTATTTTATTATTTTAATCATGCTAGGCTAGATTTTTATTATGCTAGGAGATCGATGAACCATGTGATTTGAATTTTAATATTCTAGTTTTGCAATTTGACGTTAAGACACAATTTTTATTATGTTGAATGATTTATATGCAATTAATATTTCCACAATTAAGGGCTCGTAATTGTGTAAATTTAAGTGATTTATTCTTGCATTCGAGAGAATTGGAATAGATTTGACATAATATAAATTATCGTCGGTCCGATAGTGGATAGAAATATACCGTTATACTCTACGTGAATCTTTAAATGTTCATAAAATTGCATGCATTTTTACATATGCTCTTGTCATAGAAATATAGACCGGTGGTATGTAGAGTTTGTTACATCTCGAGAGAGAGTATTGGATAGACTTAGGAACATTGATTCGTCAAAATTGAAATGTGTTGTCATATTGTGAAACTAGGATTTAAAGTGATAATTGCATGGGAATTCGTGATCCTAGCATATTTCTTTCCTAATAATTATAACACATGCGTTCTCAACTTTTAGATTTCGTTCTTGTGTTTTAATTTATTGTTTAGCATATTAATTTCAATTTAATCATAAAAAAATCGAATTTTGCATAATTGAGGTTCAATTAGGTATACATTCAATTTGGTAATTTAGTTTCGATTAAGGCTAAGGTAGGTAAAATTTGAACTAATCAATATCTGTGGGACGATATTCGGATTCATTGAATCCACTTTATTACTTGTTAACGAACCGTACACTTGCGGTGGTTTAAAATCGAAAGAAATAATTTCGTGAACATTTTTGATGCAGTAATATAGGCTATGAGACTAATGGCGATTATTATGTTTTATTGGGTGTCTCTTTGACATGATTTTCTAAACACATTAAGAAAACGACTTTTGATCACTCACATAAATATATTCTCTTTTACTAGCCATCACACTTGAATGAAAGTTATATTTTTAATATAGAATAATTGTTTTCTTATCAGAGCTCATTTAAGCATTCGATGTTGCAGCCTTTTTTTTTGACAGGCCAGTCTACAATGCTAGTCCACTGTGCTAATCATTATGCACAATCGATTGAAGATTTTAAATAAGAGTTGCGCATGTATTTGCTTTTTGGAGCTCCATGTCGATGCTTGATTAGAAGAAGAGATCGTCTTCCTTGGTCAAATCATATTCTAGGCGATAATTTTCAACTTCAATTGTTACATGGTCAACTTTGATGCTTAGTTCTTAAGAAAGATAGCCTATTTGGATAAATTTAGATACATGTTTCTGTTCATGGTATTTTGATCAAGACAAGAGATCGACCTTCTTGGAATATGAATTTCCAATCTACCTCGTTGGAGTCAAGTTCTCTAAGCAGGGAAAGTGATGGAGATACAGATAGAGATAGAAATAGAGTTACTGTAGTTTCTCCACTTCTTCAGGGTCTCAAATGACGATATTTTGTTATTCTTTGGTTGAATTAGTGCTAATTTGTTATTTATTACTTTTATTAGGAAAACTCCATGTTTGGACGAAGAATTGAAAAAAAAACTGAAAAAGAGCTAAAATGAAGCAAATTCAAAATTCAGTAACTAAAGTGCAAATATTCAAAAGTTGAATTGAATTTCAAGATGAATATTCGAGAGTGCTAGGGGTTAGTTAAATGAGGAAAGAAGTCAAATGGATGAAGTATAGTCAAAGTATTATCACAAATCATTTTTCAGTTGAAAAAGTTATACTTCGGATTTGTAACTTCATATTGAGACTCAATTTTGGCATAGTAAACATTTGAATTGGAAAAATGATATTTGAAAAATATTGTAGCCCTCTAAATTAGCTTTCCAACTTATTTTGAATCACCTAAGTTGGATACCGAGAGAAAAGGTTATGATAAAAATATGAACACTATTCGGTTGTTGTAAATTAGGCAAGATGATCGCCCTCACTTGCATGAGAGGCACACGCTCCAAAAAAATGAGGTGACTGAGGTGCCCCAAACCAGCTAGGCACACGCCATAGATATGCCTAGGTGCGCGTCCCAATACAAAAAGGGAAAAATTCGATTTTCCTTATTTTTTATTTGGTAACAATTCAATGATATTGTTTTGACATCCTTTAAATACCAAAACTTGACCAGCATGTGGAGAACCTCCATTCGACCTAAATTTCATCATATTCTACATATTTTAGAGGCGAATAACAAGTTTATACATCAATTCAAGACAAATTATACAAGAATTTTGAAGATTCATAGTCCATTTTCAAGATTTGAACCAAGAACGTGAATTTCTCCTACTTTTTCCATCTTTTTTATTTTCGGGTGATTTTTTTTCTAATTATTCTTATATAATTTAATTAAAAGAATGTTAGGCTAATTTTTTATTGTATTGGATGAATGATGAATCATATTGTTTGTTTATTTTAATTCAAGACAATTAATTTAGTATTTCTTAATTTTTCTTGATTGGTTTTGCATTCTCATTAAACTATTTGATTATTTGATCACCAATTAAATAATAAGTTTCTTATTGTATGTAGGAATACTCATTATAAGTATAGAACGCGACAAAATCAACACAGAAGGTATTAGGAATAATATCTATGGCATGTGCAATTATATATGATAAATCCTGCGAATTAATCCATGTTTTTCATATGAATTCAAATTAAGAATATGATCGGGTCGTGTTAAATTTAGGTTTAAATATATCTTAGAAAAGAATATAGATAAAAGTGAATTATTAATTGTCTTGAATACATGAATTTACTAAATTATAAATTAAGAGTTGAATTAAATGGCAATAGAGTGATTCACAATTCGAATACAAATATTCACACATTAGATAAAGGATAATTCTACATGTACATTATGGTGTCTATAAGGGTATCCACAATGTACATGTGAAATTTTATAATTGGAGGGATGAAAAACTGTTTTTCACTTCTCCAATAATGTTATGCCACTTGTACATTATGGATACCCTTATGGACACTATAATGTACATGTAGCATAACCTTTAGATAAATACTTGATTTGCTTTCTTAGTTTAGGAACTATCTCTTTTGATGTTACATGACTTCGAATTTGATAAAAACTATTGAACAAAATATTAGATCTTATTACTCGTGAGAACGATAAACTCGAAATTCACTAATTTCTATTACTTGTCAATTAATGATGATCCCGTACACTTGTAGGTTTTGTCTGAACATAATTTATAAAGAAGTTTAAAATAAAGTTTAATTCCAATTAAATTATATAAGATCAGTTTTGACATTTTGATACAATTCTAGTTTAATAAAAGTTCGTTTAAGTTCAGCTTTTTTTCAATTTCTTGCTTAATAAGTAAAGGGTTAATCATTTTAATTCATAACCTTGATGTATGAATAAATATTAATTTCCTTCCCCTCAGTTATTTTCTTCTTTGCACCCCTTTCTTTATGTTCCTTGTATTGTTCATTGTTAAGTTCATATGCTCTTGTTGTTGGACAAATTGGCCGACTTTAGCACGAGTTTTGAGTGGGACCCGGTTGTTCAATTTGGAAGATGAAAGTTGATTTGTGTTCTCCTCCGTGAGTACATCGAAATCATATATTTATTTGCCAAAGTTGATGCCCGGGTGAATAAGAAATTGAGGCTCAAAATGTGCCACTCAAAAGGGAGTTTATGTGGGAAAAATGAATTTGTCCCACATAGGAAAAAGATTAGGAACTCCAAAGGTCATTGTGGCTCATTTTCCTCATTTCAAAACACACAAAAAAAAAAAAAAGCAAAAGCTTTCAAGTTTAGAATATACTAGAAATTCATTTGTATAGAGTTTTCTCTTGGTAGTGGTGTAGTTCAGGCACTAGTTCAGTTCGTCGAAGTGGTTTCTGCGGTGCTCGAAAGCTACTGGTTTCACCGTTGTATCCTGAGAAACGGACGCTCGTTTTAAACCTCAAGCACGGACGGTGAGGGGGCGAATCTGTTTTAAGGAAATTGTGTGTAACACAGGCCTCAGATAAAAATTCTATGTTTCGGTTGTTTAATTCATGCAATTTTTCGTATTAAATTTACAGTCCATGCTTCAAGAATTTATGATATATTGTTCGTATGCTTCATGAATTTTAAATTCTATTGGAACAAAAGTTATTTGTTGGAAATAAAACTTTCAATGATCTGGTGAAAATTCGATATACGATTGTTTGAATTTTGTTAACTTGCATAGTTGCAAAATTGAAAGGATTTGTCAAAAAGACCTAAACTGTCTAAGAAGAGCTTGGGATTTAAGCGGTCCGGCTGTGACCCCCCTCCTCATTTGGGAGTCTTTTAATTGCGCATTATTCAAATTGACGAGACGAAAGATAACATTTCTCGATTTTATCCACATACACTGAATTTCCTACACTTGCGTCATGTAGAGGATACATTCTTGTTAAGTTCATATGTTCATTGTTAAATATTTTGACAATTTCTTTTGCCAACCATCTTCTTATAAAAGCCTTTAAAACCCCATGCCACGATATATCAGTCATGATAGTCAATTATTTCATGCTTTGTTTATATAAATGTAATTATGTATATACAAGCGTGAGTTTGAGCCCCATTTTTGCAAATAATTTCATTTTCCATTCGAAATCTGTAAGACCCATGAATAGTAAGAGAGACAATAGTGAAAAATCAATAAATGAACAATCTTGCAGTGTTATCTAGTTCTTCAACACCAAGGATTCAAATCAATTTGAGGTACATCCATCGAGCTGTCAATTCTCGAAGAAAACTTAATGGCGACTTATCTTGATAGAAGTCCAAAGAAAGGATTTGTTATAGCATTCTGCAACTCAGCTCCAGCTACTTTCAGCACCCCCATGTCAATCTTTTCTCTTGGTAGAAACAAAAAGTTGCCTCCCTCAACTCTCTCGAATCCACAGAGTTCAAGAAACTTGATAGCATCCCGGAATTTTCCAACGCGATCCTGTTATTCAGAAAAAAAAAAGCAATGACGCATGAGCATGAGTACAAAAAACAAAATCATTTTGTTTTGCATTGTTGATGCCTGATATTGAATGAAATCTGTATGTGTCTTCAACATTAGCAAGGAATAAGCATAGTTTGCTGGACATGTAGACACACGACCTTTTAGGAGGACCCGTTCTCGAGAGCCAACTATTAAAGGGCTTTAGATTCAAAAATGAAATTTGTATGCATGACCCAAAGATCAGAAGGGCAAAACCAAGAAATCAAAAATTCCTTTCTCCTCTCTGTGTACATGATCCAAAGTTTACTGAATACTACAAGTCTACAGCATAGAGTCAACTGAAAAGTTCATATAGTTTGATTGAAGAATTTATTTTTGCAAACTTCTTTCTATAGACAAACTAACTTTTTCCTTTTCTGTAGCATTTATTTATAAGCATCTAACCTGGAACGCCGGGTTGCTGATTCTAATCTTTCTGAACTTTCCTTCTTCAGGATTCTTCACAACATTTCTGACATAAATCAAGAGAGTTCGGAATGCCCTTGTCACTGTATTGTCCTCCTAACATAGAAGATAAAAAGATACCATTAAGTCATAACAGAGAGGAGATAAGAAAAACAATATATTATCGGTACATTGGTGCTTCCAAATTATTTCATCAAATAGGCAAGCCCAATTACTGAACAAATAACATCAATTGTTTTGGACCAGGCAGGTAACGGAAAGAGAACTTAAAAGCTAGTTACACTAGTCTCTAAGTTCGAACTTCATCCCTTTTCTGAACAAGAAACAAGAAATTACACTGAAGGCCTCAAAAAGATCTCTTCTATTAATGCTGCTAGCATTCCTTTTAGCCGAAAACTTAAATGTCCACTTCAATATACACGTGGTGTATCAAATATATTTTGCATTAAGAATTATCCCGGTTGTGCCTCTGTTGTGAATGATTACACGTCTTTCAGTATAAACAATCAAAAGTCAAGAAACCATATGGGTATAATAAAAATAAATTCCATTGTAATTTCTTTAGATATAGGGGATGAAAGTTTTCAATTGCTGGCAAGCCATTTGATATATATCGGCCGTAAGTTATCAAACTGGGTTATTTTTTGTAATATAGGTAAAGAGAAGTTTGACAGGAGATAATTACTTTAGGTCAAAGTCTATTTTTTGCCTGGAGAGCATTTCTATTGACATTGTTAGGTGGACAAATGATGTAGTACAATTAAGTACTAGTTTTTCATTACAATTATGTTTTCTAGGAGTTTGTCTTTTAATTAAGTTTATCTATTTAGTTGTAATAGGACTTTTACATTTTATTTGATTAGGACTTTAATATTTTAGTTGATTAGGATTATAGTTTCCTTATTTCAATTTTATAATACTATTAGAAGTAGGGGATAGTTTACCTATAAATATAGGGGTCATGTACAATTTTCATATCATCAATTAATCTTCAATTAATACAAGCAAGTTATTCCTAGAATTTTCTTATTTCAATTCTTATTATAAGAATTTCATAATGCTTCCGCACCAAAATTGGTATGAGAGCAAGGAATTCACCTTAATCCGATGGTTGAGGAAGGTACTGGTGGCAGTCGGACCGTCGTCGACGAACGGAGGCTCGACAAGCTCGAACATCGAATCGAGAGAATTGATGAAACTCTTCGCTATCTCACACAAAAGGTGACTGCGTTAAATGTGAAGTATAGACTCGAACCCATGGAGAAACAACTAAACTAGAAAGAAACTCGACAAAAGGGAGAAGACTCAGATTACAGTGGGAAAGAAGGTACTAATTCGAATGCAACAATTCATAGGGTTGCAGCAGACATTAACCCGCACCACAGGCTAGAACCAGAAGTCGACATAGAATTTGGATCCAGGCTTGTCGCTGATCATCAATGGCGGTAGGCGGGACTTAGGATGGACAGGATGCGCACGCAGGAACCCAGTCGAGAAACACAGTGCTGCTCCATTGCAGTTTTATGAATGGAGGAACAGAAAAGCACCTGGTCAGCGAAACGACAGCGACGACGTCAAAGAACTCGCAGGCGAAGGTGGACGACCGCTCGGCGACGTCGGTGAGTTCACAGGTGGTAACCGACGCAAGCCATCTGGAGAAATTTTGAACAACAGGCAGAAGATGCTCGATTTAATTTCAGAAGAGATGTTAATTTTGACCAATATAATTTTGCCCGAATTAATAATGTTGACCAAGGTATTAATTTTTAATTTTGATCGAGGTAATAATTTTGGCCAGGCAGGCAGTTTTGACCAAATATTTAATTTTGAAAAAGGGTTAAATTTTGGCCGTCGGTCGTGGGGTGTTGACTTTTATGGGAATCCTAATTGTCAACCAAGGGATAGAGATTTTCGAAAAAGATGGCAACGGGAGTTTGACTATTCTTCCAAAGAGAAGAAAATTTTCGACCAAGGGCCAACAATCAAGGTCCAAATGTTCAAGAATTTAAGATGAAGATGGACTTGCCAAGTTTTGATGATCGATTAAATATTGAAGATTTTTTGGATTGGATCCATACCATTGAAATTTTTTTTAACTATTTAATTACCTCATAAAAAAGCCAAGTGAAACTTGTAGCGTACAAATTAAAAGGTGGAGCTTCTGCATGATGGGAACAACTTCAATTTAATCATCAAAGACAAGAAAAGCAACGTGTGCAAACTTGGTCCAAGTTAAAAGCTTGTTGCAAAGTCGATTTCTCCCTCCAAAATATGAGCAATTTGTATACCACTAGTACCAGAATTGTGGACAAAACAACATGACAATAAACGAATACATAGAGGAATTCTATCGATCAAATGCCCGCATTAATTTGTATGAAATAGAAGTTCAATTAATTGCTCGATATATAGGAGGCCTAAAGTTTGTCATTCAAGATCGCTTAGGTCTCCAAGAGATTTGGACCATGATAGATGCGGTCAATCTGGCAATGAAGATAGAAAATCAAATGAATAGAAGCACAGCCTGTACTCAAAATAATTTTCGACAGCCAATTCAAGAAACTTATGCTACTTAGGGATGTCAAATCGGCTCGGCCACTCGACTCGTTAAAACTTGGCTCGTGGACGGCTCGAACTCGTCACTCGAGCCGAGCAGGGGGCTTGATCCCACGTGCTCGTCCAAAAAATTGATTTTTTTAAAAAAAAAGGTGTAAAAAAAGAAAAAATAAATAAATAAAAGCACTAGCTCGCGAGCGGCTCGACTCGGCCCACGAGCTCGTGGCTTGTGAGCTCACGAGCTCGGCTCATTTTTCACAAGCCACGAGCCCGAGTCGAGCTCGTGGGTTAAGGGTCGAGCTGCCATCACTAATGCTACTCCAAAGGGTGCAATGACCTCAAGCAACAATAATAATAACAGCAAGAATACTACTCCAATTCAAAATTCAACACAGAATCAAAGAGGAACCTCTGCTCCTGTTCGATCTAACACCCACAGCAGAAATCAGATACAACAACAAGTCGATAATGATCATTATGCGCGCCATAATCTTGGGAAGTGCTTTCGGTACAATCCACCAGGTCATCTTTCAAATAGCTGTCCAAACAGGCGATCCATTAACTTTGCAGAAGAAGGCGACAGTAGGGAAGAACAAAATCTTGAAGACAATGATTATGAGGTTGGTGATGTTGTAGATGCCTATATAGGGGAAGAATTGGCGTGCATTATCCAACGCCTTTTCCTTGCTCCGAAAAGCCCGATACCTCTCAACGATACAAGATCTTCCGGACTCAATGCATTTTTTGTAATTATGTATGCAATGTGATCATTAACAGTGGTAGTAGTGAGAACATCATTTCTAAAGCAGTGGTAAAGCTCCAAATCTAAAGACCGAGAGACACCCTTCTCTATACAAGATTGCATGGATTAAAAAAAGCCCTGAAGTTCTAGTTCTAGAGATTTGTAAGGTTCCTTTGTCAATTGGAAAATATTACAAAGATGAGATCATATGCGACATAGTGGATATGGATGCTTGTCACATCTTATTGGGTCATCCATGGCACTATGACATTGATGCCACTTATAAGGGACGGGACAATACGTTCATATTTTGGTCGCTCAATAGGAAGATCATTTTGGTACCACAATCTCAGCCCTTGGAAATCAACCATGCTATCAAAGAAGATAAACCACTTTTTACCAACATATCAAGCCAGAATTCTTTGAACAATTAAAAGAGCCGGGCATAGTATTGGCATTGGTTGTTAAAGGACAATGAGAAGCAACTATACAGATTCCCACCAAAGTTCAGAAAGTACTAGTTGATTTTACTGAGATAGCACCTGACGAGTTACCAAACGAGTTGCCCCCTATGCAAAATATTCAACATCATATTGATTTGGCGCCTGAAGCTAGTTTACCTAACTGCCACATTATCGCATGAGCCCAATTGAACATGAAAAGTTACAGCGACAAGTTAATGAATTACTTGATAAAGGATTGATCCGCGAGAGTATGAGTCCTTGAGATGTTCCCGCTTCACTCATTCCAAAGAAGGATGGCAATTGGCAAATGTATATAGTTAGTCGTGCTATTAATAAAATAACAATCAAGTATCGCTTTCGCATCCCACGTCTTAATGATATGCTTGACAGGTTAAAAGGTGCAGTAATATTTACCGAACTTAATTTAAGGAGTGGCAATATTAATTTAAGGAGTGGCTATCATCATATCCGTATTCGCACTGCGATGAATGGAAAATAGCTTTCAAAATGAAAGATGGTCTCTACGAGTGGTTAGTGATGCCATTTAGGCTATCGAACGCACCAAGCACATTCATGCGATTAATGAACCAAGTTTTTCGTCCATATGTGGGAAAATTTATGGTGGTCTATTTTGATGATATTCTTATTTATAGCAAAAATGAAGATGAGCACTTATCATATCTTACAGAAGTTCTCTCCGCCCTGTGGGATAATAAATTATATATTAATCTCAAAAAGTGCAGCTTAATGACTGACCAACTTTTATTTCTTGGTTTTATGGTGAGTAAAGATGGTATTCAAATTGATGAGGCGAAGGTGAAAGCAATACGCGGTGACCAATCTATTTTTCGCGAGATCGTTCACTTACATGGCATCCCTCATTCTATAACTTCTGATATAGATGTAAAGTTTCAAAGTCTCTTTTGGAGGACATTGTGGAGAATATTTGAAACTTCTTTGAAATTTAGTAGCACAAGTCATCCACAAATAGATGGTCAAATGGAAGTGGCTAATCGAACTCTTGGCAATATGATTCGAGTATTTAGTGTAGATAAACAAAAACAGTGGGATGCTACCCTTCCTTCCACAAATTGAGTTTGCTTTTAATAGTATGCCTAATCGATCCACCAAGAAGACTCATTTTGAAGTTGTTTACTCTAATGTTCCAAGGCATACAGTAGATTTCATTCGACTTCCTAATATCAATTCTAATGTAGAAGAGTTTGCTGAACGTATACAAAGAATTCATCACAAGGTAAAACAAAATTTAGAAGATGCTAATATTCGTTACAAGACTGCTGCAGACCAACATCGACACCTTAAGCTATTCAACGAAGGTGATTTAGTAATGGTCCATCTCAGAAAAAATCATTTTCCTGTTGGCACTTATAATAAGCTGAAAGATAAGAAGATTGGTCCTTTTCGCATTCTTCAAAAGATTGGCGATAATACTTATAAAGTTGATCTTCCAGCGAATACGAATATTTCCAACACTTTTAATGTTGCCGAATCTCCGAATACTTTCCTCTAGATGAATTTTCCTTGCAGACACAAAACTCGAGGACGAGTTTTCTTTCAAGTGGAGGGGATTGATGTAGTACAATTAAACTACTAGTTTTTTATTACAATTATGTTTTCTAAGAGTTTGTCTTTTAATCAAGTTTATCTATTTAGTTATAATAGGACTTTTATATTTTATTTGATTTGGACTTTAATATTTTAGTTGATTAGGATTATAGTTTTCTTATTTCAATTTCCTAATACTATTGGGAGTAGGGGATAATTTGCCTATAAATATAGGAGTAATATACAATTTTCATATCATCAATTATTCTTCAATCAATACAAGCAAGTTATTCCTAGAATTTTCTTATTTCAATTCTTATTATAAGAATTTCATAACGCTTCCGCACAAACAAACAATTACATTTCTTGGTGGGAGAATTCTTTCATGAGAATATAAGGCCTTTTAGAACCACTATGGGCATATAAATTGAGTAATATAAGCTCTACATTCTATCGAGAAAGATGATTTCTAAACCTTTTCAGTTTATTGTGTCAAGGACCAAGACACTGAACAAGAATGTTAAGTCAGCTACCTTGTTATGGCGCTTCAGAGTTCTTAAGCATTCTCTCAGGAGTTCCGCTTTTTCAGCAGGCTTAACAGGCAATACAACAGAGTCATATGTCGATGAGTTCTTCACCAGGGAAGAATAATATCAGACGCTAGTTGTTCTACCATAAAAAATCGAAGAACCAATGTAAGTAATTCCAAAATTCATTACCCTTGTTCCTTGCAACAATGATGTGGCAGGTATTGTAGATGTAGCACCTTCCACAGCTTCCCTGGGCAATCCTAGTCCCACCCTTCTTTCCGCCTACTAAACATGTACTATTAGCATTTTTAACATTTGAAAGGGAAAAATGAACTTTCAGATGAACAAGAAACGCACTATATCAGATAATGAATACTACATTACTGTTTAAGAGGATATGAAGAATAGCAAGAAATATCACATCACATAAGAGAATACAAACTATGTCCTTATTCAGAGGATAAGTAGGATTATTATGTCATTGTGGTTAATACGCATATAAGTTTCAAAGACAGTTTTTCTTTCTTTGACCTTTTAAGTTTTCTTGCTATTTCACTAGCACGGTGTGGCAAAGCACTGCAAGCCAAATTTGGCACAAGCAGAAAAAATGGAAGTAATACAATTCAGCTGTACCTTATCCTGCTGAAGTTTCTGACGAATTTTCTCCCTTGCTCTTCTCTCTTCCTCTTTCTCAGCTTTCCTTTGGGCCAAAAAACTGTGTATTCGCCAAAGTCCACAATTAAGTATGTGAGAATCAAAAGAAAAAAGAGAGAAATAGAAAGATACAACAAACTAGGCCTCATTGTCAATAATTTTGGGGGTTAGCAAGAAGATAGAATAAGTATATAAAAACAAATAACATTTAAACAGAAGCCAGACCGTTTTCTTTCACGTTCTTCTGCCATTTCCTTTGCCTCTAACAGTTCTTTACCTACCCTAATCCTCTCCTACAAGTGGCATTATTAATGGATAACAGAATTGTCAATACATTGACAGATTTAACTTAAACTAAATTTTAGCAGGATCACAGGAATGTGGTCCAAAGATGAAATAAAGTGAATAGGAAAGCAAACATGAGGATTTGAAATGAACGAACACAACACAAAAAATAAAAATAAAAAAAATAATAAAAAAAAAGGAAGGAAGAAAGAAAGAAGACATAAATTAAGCCTCATTCCAAATAAATTTATCACAGACAAATATTGAGAAAACTACAGATGAAACTTAAAACTCTATTCCCGCAACAATGCAAGCTTATAGGTAGTAACTAATTTGCAATCTTAGAATAAGTTCTATCTGAACCATAAGTGTAGCAACTAGGGCTTCATTTATGGTTAAAATAGCATTCACATTATAACATTCTCATAAGAAAATATGTACAAAATCAATTTTTCTTCTTAATATCCAGTCTTAGTTCCTCAGGTAACTGCAGTTATCCAGAGACATGTCTTGAAAATTGAAAAGTAAAAGGTGTCTAATTGTTGGATACAATAATTAATTGATATACGTGAAGTCCTCTAACAACTTAAGCTTTTAGTAGTTCAACATGGTATTAGAGCTATTAAAGATCGTGAGTTCAAATCTCACCGCCAACCATTTATTAAAAATTGTGCACATGTTAGGTTTTAATGAGAAAAATGAATTCCGCCTACATGTGAAGGGGGCATATTGAAAATAATATTTAAATGATAGACATGAGGTCGTTTCTAACAACATAAGCTTTTCGATAAGTGGTACAACACTTAGGTATACTCAGAAAAGACCAAAATCTGTCATTGTCTATGTTATATTAGAAACTGCATCAAACAACAACAAAAACAAGATGGTGTTGTTTGGCTACATGAATACTTTTTCAATTTTAATCTAAAACATATAAACAGGGAGGTCTTGATAGATCATAACATTTGCAGCCACATAAAGCCACGTTAATACCTCTCCATCTTCTAACTTTTTCTCCATGTATCAGGCACTCTTTTGATTTTTCAGTCTACATTAGATATTCGCCAAACATCCAAGTCATCCTTCACTTAATTTTTCCATAACTACCTCCACATATTGGCACATATCCTTATTTCTCATGTTATCCTTTCTGCAAAAGTATCACATCCACCTCAATGACTCAACGTATGCTACTATTATATTATGAACATTTTATTGTTAACAATCTACTAAAGCACAGCTCATCTAATAGTCGTAATAGAACTTTCTTTTCAATTGGTAGGTGTCTTAAAACAACAAAAATTATTAGTATGAAGCTTGTTCTAATTCAAAGACACGACAAATTATGCAGCTAATAGCTGCTACCTTCTGGACTCACAGGTAATGGTCGAGAATTTAGGGTAACCAAAAGCTTTACACCCATTATATACCTCTCTGGTCCTCTTCATAATAAGACCAACCTGGATTATAGCTTTTATCATTCTATAGCTTCCACACCTGTTCTATAATTATCAGCTTACAAGAGATTGTGCTCTGAGTATTTGACTAAAATATACCAGCAACAAAGACTGTTTTGTGAGATTTTAAGGGGAGTCATATAATAGAAAAAATATAGCCTACGTAATTAGAAGGGAAAAAATATATATATATGTTTATGTTCACAATAACCCAAATCCCCATGGCAAATATGGGAATCAATTTTACAATCAAAAAACAAAAATATTTGATTAGTCAAAATATCTAGTGCAAGATTCCGTTAACATTAACTAGAATTCTCGAGCAATTCATAATGAATGCCAGATTTTTTTATGCGTAAAGAATTTAGCTGTGGGAGGAAAGGGAAAATTTATCCAATCTGAAATCTAAACATAGGCTAGTTACAGTACCTTCTCCCTTTCACTTTCAAATTTCTTCTTTTCCTCTGCTTTCTTTTTACGTGATCGATTTCTAAAATTAAGAAGCATTTAAAATGTAAAAAATCAGAAAAGAACAAGTAATCTGACCATTAGCATGATATGCAACAATAAACACCTCTATTGTAAGAGAATAAAAATAACTGACTGTAAACTGAAGTTCAAAAAGGGTTTTATAATGAAAAGCATGTAACAGCAAACCTTAATTCCTGTGCGCACAACTTCACTTCTTCGGAAATGAGACGGGGGTCGATTTCTTCAATTTCAATGTTTACTGGATCCTGCAGGCACTAGTTTCATAGGTAAACATGTATATGCATAAATTTATGCAGTGGTATGAGATGATACAATAATGTATGTCACATAAACAATTTTACAGTACTCAGATGGTGTTATTCGGTATCAAATACTGATTCATTGAAGCATATACATTATTGACATACGCAGGTTAGAGAAAACAATTCATCCATTGCAACTACTTCTCATAGAAAAGTAAGAAGAAAACAAGCACTTAACTTGGTGCATGTAGCCTAGCCTATAAATAGTGGCTCATTTTCCTCATTTCAACACACACAAAAAAAAAAAAAAAAAAAAAGCAAAAGCTTTCAAGTTTAGAATATACTAGAAATTCATTTGTATAGAGTTTTCTCTTGGTAGTGGTGTAGTTCAGGCACTAGTTCAGTTCGTCGAAGTGGTTTCTGCGGTGCTCGAAAGCTACTGGTTTCACCGTTGTATCCTGAGAAACGGACGCTCGTTTTAAACCTCAAGCACGGACGGTGAGGGGGCGAATCTGTTTTAAGGAAATTGTGTGTAACACAGGCCTCAGATAAAAATTCTATGTTTCGGTTGTTTAATTCATGCAATTTTTCGTATTAAATTTACAGTCCATGCTTCAAGAATTTATGATATATTGTTCGTATGCTTCATGAATTTTAAATTCTATTGGAACAAAAGTTATTTGTTGGAAATAAAACTTTCAATGATCTGGTGAAAATTCGATATACGATTGTTTGAATTTTGTTAACTTGCATAGTTGCAAAATTGAAAGGATTTGTCAAAAAGACCTAAACTGTCTAAGAAGAGCTTGGGATTTAAGCGGTCCGGCTGTGACCCCCCTCCTCATTTGGGAGTCTTTTAATTGCGCATTATTCAAATTGACGAGACGAAAGATAACATTTCTCGATTTTATCCACATACACTGAATTTCCTACACTTGCGTCATGTAGAGGATACATTCTTGTTAAGTTCATATGTTCATTGTTAAATATTTTGACAATTTCTTTTGCCAACCATCTTCTTATAAAAGCCTTTAAAACCCCATGCCACGATATATCAGTCATGATAGTCAATTATTTCATGCTTTGTTTATATAAATGTAATTATGTATATACAAGCGTGAGTTTGAGCCCCATTTTTGCAAATAATTTCATTTTCCATTCGAAATCTGTAAGACCCATGAATAGTAAGAGAGACAATAGTGAAAAATCAATAAATGAACAATCTTGCAGTGTTATCTAGTTCTTCAACACCAAGGATTCAAATCAATTTGAGGTACATCCATCGAGCTGTCAATTCTCGAAGAAAACTTAATGGCGACTTATCTTGATAGAAGTCCAAAGAAAGGATTTGTTATAGCATTCTGCAACTCAGCTCCAGCTACTTTCAGCACCCCCATGTCAATCTTTTCTCTTGGTAGAAACAAAAAGTTGCCTCCCTCAACTCTCTCGAATCCACAGAGTTCAAGAAACTTGATAGCATCCCGGAATTTTCCAACGCGATCCTGTTATTCAGAAAAAAAAAAGCAATGACGCATGAGCATGAGTACAAAAAACAAAATCATTTTGTTTTGCATTGTTGATGCCTGATATTGAATGAAATCTGTATGTGTCTTCAACATTAGCAAGGAATAAGCATAGTTTGCTGGACATGTAGACACACGACCTTTTAGGAGGACCCGTTCTCGAGAGCCAACTATTAAAGGGCTTTAGATTCAAAAATGAAATTTGTATGCATGACCCAAAGATCAGAAGGGCAAAACCAAGAAATCAAAAATTCCTTTCTCCTCTCTGTGTACATGATCCAAAGTTTACTGAATACTACAAGTCTACAGCATAGAGTCAACTGAAAAGTTCATATAGTTTGATTGAAGAATTTATTTTTGCAAACTTCTTTCTATAGACAAACTAACTTTTTCCTTTTCTGTAGCATTTATTTATAAGCATCTAACCTGGAACGCCGGGTTGCTGATTCTAATCTTTCTGAACTTTCCTTCTTCAGGATTCTTCACAACATTTCTGACATAAATCAAGAGAGTTCGGAATGCCCTTGTCACTGTATTGTCCTCCTAACATAGAAGATAAAAGATACCATTAAGTCATAACAGAGAGGAGATAAGAAAAACAATATATTATCGGTACATTGGTGCTTCCAAATTATTTCATCAAATAGGCAAGCCCAATTACTGAACAAATAACATCAATTGTTTTGGACCAGGCAGGTAACGGAAAGAGAACTTAAAAGCTAGTTACACTAGTCTCTAAGTTCGAACTTCATCCCTTTTCTGAACAAGAAACAAGAAATTACACTGAAGGCAAAAAGATACCATTAAGTCATAACAGAGAGGAGATAAGAAAAACAATATATTATCGGTACATTGGTGCTTCCAAATTATTTCATCAAATAGGCAAGCCCAATTACTGAACAAATAACATCAATTGTTTTGGACCAGGCAGGTAACGGAAAGAGAACTTAAAAGCTAGTTACACTAGTCTCTAAGTTCGAACTTCATCCCTTTTCTGAACAAGAAACAAGAAATTACACTGAAGGCCTCAAAAAGATCTCTTCTATTAATGCTGCTAGCATTCCTTTTAGCCGAAAACTTAAATGTCCACTTCAATATACACGTGGTGTATCAAATATATTTTGCATTAAGAATTATCCCGGTTGTGCCTCTGTTGTGAATGATTACACGTCTTTCAGTATAAACAATCAAAAGTCAAGAAACCATATGGGTATAATAAAAATAAATTCCATTGTAATTTCTTTAGATATAGGGGATGAAAGTTTTCAATTGCTGGCAAGCCATTTGATATATATCGGCCGTAAGTTATCAAACTGGGTTATTTTTTGTAATATAGGTAAAGAGAAGTTTGACAGGAGATAATTACTTTAGGTCAAAGTCTATTTTTTGCCTGGAGAGCATTTCTATTGACATTGTTAGGTGGACAAATGATGTAGTACAATTAAGTACTAGTTTTTCATTACAATTATGTTTTCTAGGAGTTTGTCTTTTAATTAAGTTTATCTATTTAGTTGTAATAGGACTTTTACATTTTATTTGATTAGGACTTTAATATTTTAGTTGATTAGGATTATAGTTTCCTTATTTCAATTTTATAATACTATTAGAAGTAGGGGATAGTTTACCTATAAATATAGGGGTCATGTACAATTTTCATATCATCAATTAATCTTCAATTAATACAAGCAAGTTATTCCTAGAATTTTCTTATTTCAATTCTTATTATAAAAATTTCATAATGCTTCAGCACCAAAATTGGTATGGGAGCAAGGAATTCACCTTAATCCGATGGTTGAGGAAGGAACTGGTGGCAGTCGGACCGTCGACGACGAACGGAGGCTCGACAAGCTCGAACATCGAATCGAGGGAATTGACGAAACTCTTCGCTATCTCACACAAAAGGTGACTGCGTTAAATGTGAAGTATAGACTCGAACCCATGGAGAAACAACTAAACTAGAAAGAAACTCGACAAAAGGGAGAAGACTCAGATTACAGTGGGAAAGAAGGTACTAATTCGAATGCAACAATTCATAGGGTTGCAGCAGACATTAACCCGCACCACAGGCTAGAACCAGAAGTCGACATAGAATTTGGATCCAGGCTTGTCGCTGATCATCAATGGCGGTAGGCGGGACTTAGGATGGACAGGATGCGCACGCAGGAACCCAGTCGAGAAACACAGTGCTGCTCCATTGCAGTTTTATGAATGGAGGAACAGAAAAGCACCTGGTCAGCGAAACGACAGCGACGACGTCAAAGAACTCGCAGGCGAAGGTGGACGACCGCTCGGCGACGTCGGTGAGTTCACAGGTGGTAACCGACGCAAGCCATCTGGAGAAATTTTGAACAACAGGCAGAAGATGCTCGATTTAATTTCAGAAGAGATGTTAATTTTGACCAATATAATTTTGCCCGAATTAATAATGTTGACCAAGGTATTAATTTTTAATTTTGATCGAGGTAATAATTTTGGCCAGGCAGGCAGTTTTGACCAAATATTTAATTTTGAAAAAGGGTTAAATTTTGGCCGTCGGTCGTGGGGTGTTGACTTTTATGGGAATCCTAATTGTCAACCAAGGGATAGAGATTTTCGAAAAAGATGGCAACGGGAGTTTGACTATTCTTCCAAAGAGAAGAAAATTTTCGACCAAGGGCCAACAATCAAGGTCCAAATGTTCAAGAATTTAAGATGAAGATGGACTTGCCAAGTTTTGATGATCGATTAAATATTGAAGATTTTTTGGATTGGATCCATACCATTGAAATTTTTTTTAACTATTTAATTACCTCATAAAAAAGCCAAGTGAAACTTGTAGCGTACAAATTAAAAGGTGGAGCTTCTGCATGATGGGAACAACTTCAATTTAATCATCAAAGACAAGAAAAGCAACGTGTGCAAACTTGGTCCAAGTTAAAAGCTTGTTGCAAAGTCGATTTCTCCCTCCAAAATATGAGCAATTTGTATACCACTAGTACCAGAATTGTGGACAAAACAACATGACAATAAACGAATACATAGAGGAATTCTATCGATCAAATGCCCGCATTAATTTGTATGAAATAGAAGTTCAATTAATTGCTCGATATATAGGAGGCCTAAAGTTTGTCATTCAAGATCGCTTAGGTCTCCAAGAGATTTGGACCATGATAGATGCGGTCAATCTGGCAATGAAGATAGAAAATCAAATGAATAGAAGCACAGCCTGTACTCAAAATAATTTTCGACAGCCAATTCAAGAAACTTATGCTACTTAGGGATGTCAAATCGGCTCGGCCACTCGACTCGTTAAAACTTGGCTCGTGGACGGCTCGAACTCGTCACTCGAGCCGAGCAGGGGGCTTGATCCCACGTGCTCGTCCAAAAAATTGATTTTTTTAAAAAAAAAGGTGTAAAAAAAGAAAAAATAAATAAATAAAAGCACTAGCTCGCGAGCGGCTCGACTCGGCCCACGAGCTCGTGGCTTGTGAGCTCACGAGCTCGGCTCATTTTTCACAAGCCACGAGCCCGAGTCGAGCTCGTGGGTTAAGGGTCGAGCTGCCATCACTAATGCTACTCCAAAGGGTGCAATGACCTCAAGCAACAATAATAATAACAGCAAGAATACTACTCCAATTCAAAATTCAACACAGAATCAAAGAGGAACCTCTGCTCCTGTTCGATCTAACACCCACAGCAGAAATCAGATACAACAACAAGTCGATAATGATCATTATGCGCGCCATAATCTTGGGAAGTGCTTTCGGTACAATCCACCAGGTCATCTTTCAAATAGCTGTCCAAACAGGCGATCCATTAACTTTGCAGAAGAAGGCGACAGTAGGGAAGAACAAAATCTTGAAGACAATGATTATGAGGTTGGTGATGTTGTAGATGCCTATATAGGGGAAGAATTGGCGTGCATTATCCAACGCCTTTTCCTTGCTCCGAAAAGCCCGATACCTCTCAACGATACAAGATCTTCCGGACTCAATGCATTTTTTGTAATTATGTATGCAATGTGATCATTAACAGTGGTAGTAGTGAGAACATCATTTCTAAAGCAGTGGTAAAGCTCCAAATCTAAAGACCGAGAGACACCCTTCTCTATACAAGATTGCATGGATTAAAAAAAGCCCTGAAGTTCTAGTTCTAGAGATTTGTAAGGTTCCTTTGTCAATTGGAAAATATTACAAAGATGAGATCATATGCGACATAGTGGATATGGATGCTTGTCACATCTTATTGGGTCATCCATGGCACTATGACATTGATGCCACTTATAAGGGACGGGACAATACGTTCATATTTTGGTCGCTCAATAGGAAGATCATTTTGGTACCACAATCTCAGCCCTTGGAAATCAACCATGCTATCAAAGAAGATAAACCACTTTTTACCAACATATCAAGCCAGAATTCTTTGAACAATTAAAAGAGCCGGGCATAGTATTGGCATTGGTTGTTAAAGGACAATGAGAAGCAACTATACAGATTCCCACCAAAGTTCAGAAAGTACTAGTTGATTTTACTGAGATAGCACCTGACGAGTTACCAAACGAGTTGCCCCCTATGCAAAATATTCAACATCATATTGATTTGGCGCCTGAAGCTAGTTTACCTAACTGCCACATTATCGCATGAGCCCAATTGAACATGAAAAGTTACAGCGACAAGTTAATGAATTACTTGATAAAGGATTGATCCGCGAGAGTATGAGTCCTTGAGATGTTCCCGCTTCACTCATTCCAAAGAAGGATGGCAATTGGCAAATGTATATAGTTAGTCGTGCTATTAATAAAATAACAATCAAGTATCGCTTTCGCATCCCACGTCTTAATGATATGCTTGACAGGTTAAAAGGTGCAGTAATATTTACCGAACTTAATTTAAGGAGTGGCAATATTAATTTAAGGAGTGGCTATCATCATATCCGTATTCGCACTGCGATGAATGGAAAATAGCTTTCAAAATGAAAGATGGTCTCTACGAGTGGTTAGTGATGCCATTTAGGCTATCGAACGCACCAAGCACATTCATGCGATTAATGAACCAAGTTTTTCGTCCATATGTGGGAAAATTTATGGTGGTCTATTTTGATGATATTCTTATTTATAGCAAAAATGAAGATGAGCACTTATCATATCTTACAGAAGTTCTCTCCGCCCTGTGGGATAATAAATTATATATTAATCTCAAAAAGTGCAGCTTAATGACTGACCAACTTTTATTTCTTGGTTTTATGGTGAGTAAAGATGGTATTCAAATTGATGAGGCGAAGGTGAAAGCAATACGCGGTGACCAATCTATTTTTCGCGAGATCGTTCACTTACATGGCATCCCTCATTCTATAACTTCTGATATAGATGTAAAGTTTCAAAGTCTCTTTTGGAGGACATTGTGGAGAATATTTGAAACTTCTTTGAAATTTAGTAGCACAAGTCATCCACAAATAGATGGTCAAATGGAAGTGGCTAATCGAACTCTTGGCAATATGATTCGAGTATTTAGTGTAGATAAACAAAAACAGTGGGATGCTACCCTTCCTTCCACAAATTGAGTTTGCTTTTAATAGTATGCCTAATCGATCCACCAAGAAGACTCATTTTGAAGTTGTTTACTCTAATGTTCCAAGGCATACAGTAGATTTCATTCGACTTCCTAATATCAATTCTAATGTAGAAGAGTTTGCTGAACGTATACAAAGAATTCATCACAAGGTAAAACAAAATTTAGAAGATGCTAATATTCGTTACAAGACTGCTGCAGACCAACATCGACACCTTAAGCTATTCAACGAAGGTGATTTAGTAATGGTCCATCTCAGAAAAAATCATTTTCCTGTTGGCACTTATAATAAGCTGAAAGATAAGAAGATTGGTCCTTTTCGCATTCTTCAAAAGATTGGCGATAATACTTATAAAGTTGATCTTCCAGCGAATACGAATATTTCCAACACTTTTAATGTTGCCGAATCTCCGAATACTTTCCTCTAGATGAATTTTCCTTGCAGACACAAAACTCGAGGACGAGTTTTCTTTCAAGTGGAGGGGATTGATGTAGTACAATTAAACTACTAGTTTTTTATTACAATTATGTTTTCTAAGAGTTTGTCTTTTAATCAAGTTTATCTATTTAGTTATAATAGGACTTTTATATTTTATTTGATTTGGACTTTAATATTTTAGTTGATTAGGATTATAGTTTTCTTATTTCAATTTCCTAATACTATTGGGAGTAGGGGATAATTTGCCTATAAATATAGGAGTAATATACAATTTTCATATCATCAATTATTCTTCAATCAATACAAGCAAGTTATTCCTAGAATTTTCTTATTTCAATTCTTATTATAAGAATTTCATAACGCTTCCGCACAAACAAACAATTACATTTCTTGGTGGGAGAATTCTTTCATGAGAATATAAGGCCTTTTAGAACCACTATGGGCATATAAATTGAGTAATATAAGCTCTACATTCTATCGAGAAAGATGATTTCTAAACCTTTTCAGTTTATTGTGTCAAGGACCAAGACACTGAACAAGAATGTTAAGTCAGCTACCTTGTTATGGCGCTTCAGAGTTCTTAAGCATTCTCTCAGGAGTTCCGCTTTTTCAGCAGGCTTAACAGGCAATACAACAGAGTCATATGTCGATGAGTTCTTCACCAGGGAAGAATAATATCAGACGCTAGTTGTTCTACCATAAAAAATCGAAGAACCAATGTAAGTAATTCCAAAATTCATTACCCTTGTTCCTTGCAACAATGATGTGGCAGGTATTGTAGATGTAGCACCTTCCACAGCTTCCCTGGGCAATCCTAGTCCCACCCTTCTTTCCGCCTACTAAACATGTACTATTAGCATTTTTAACATTTGAAAGGGAAAAATGAACTTTCAGATGAACAAGAAACGCACTATATCAGATAATGAATACTACATTACTGTTTAAGAGGATATGAAGAATAGCAAGAAATATCACATCACATAAGAGAATACAAACTATGTCCTTATTCAGAGGATAAGTAGGATTATTATGTCATTGTGGTTAATACGCATATAAGTTTCAAAGACAGTTTTTCTTTCTTTGACCTTTTAAGTTTTCTTGCTATTTCACTAGCACGGTGTGGCAAAGCACTGCAAGCCAAATTTGGCACAAGCAGAAAAAATGGAAGTAATACAATTCAGCTGTACCTTATCCTGCTGAAGTTTCTGACGAATTTTCTCCCTTGCTCTTCTCTCTTCCTCTTTCTCAGCTTTCCTTTGGGCCAAAAAACTGTGTATTCGCCAAAGTCCACAATTAAGTATGTGAGAATCAAAAGAAAAAAGAGAGAAATAGAAAGATACAACAAACTAGGCCTCATTGTCAATAATTTTGGGGGTTAGCAAGAAGATAGAATAAGTATATAAAAACAAATAACATTTAAACAGAAGCCAGACCGTTTTCTTTCACGTTCTTCTGCCATTTCCTTTGCCTCTAACAGTTCTTTACCTACCCTAATCCTCTCCTACAAGTGGCATTATTAATGGATAACAGAATTGTCAATACATTGACAGATTTAACTTAAACTAAATTTTAGCAGGATCACAGGAATGTGGTCCAAAGATGAAATAAAGTGAATAGGAAAGCAAACATGAGGATTTGAAATGAACGAACACAACACAAAAAATAAAAATAAAAAAAATAATAAAAAAAAAGGAAGGAAGAAAGAAAGAAGACATAAATTAAGCCTCATTCCAAATAAATTTATCACAGACAAATATTGAGAAAACTACAGATGAAACTTAAAACTCTATTCCCGCAACAATGCAAGCTTATAGGTAGTAACTAATTTGCAATCTTAGAATAAGTTCTATCTGAACCATAAGTGTAGCAACTAGGGCTTCATTTATGGTTAAAATAGCATTCACATTATAACATTCTCATAAGAAAATATGTACAAAATCAATTTTTCTTCTTAATATCCAGTCTTAGTTCCTCAGGTAACTGCAGTTATCCAGAGACATGTCTTGAAAATTGAAAAGTAAAAGGTGTCTAATTGTTGGATACAATAATTAATTGATATACGTGAAGTCCTCTAACAACTTAAGCTTTTAGTAGTTCAACATGGTATTAGAGCTATTAAAGATCGTGAGTTCAAATCTCACCGCCAACCATTTATTAAAAATTGTGCACATGTTAGGTTTTAATGAGAAAAATGAATTCCGCCTACATGTGAAGGGGGCATATTGAAAATAATATTTAAATGATAGACATGAGGTCGTTTCTAACAACATAAGCTTTTCGATAAGTGGTACAACACTTAGGTATACTCAGAAAAGACCAAAATCTGTCATTGTCTATGTTATATTAGAAACTGCATCAAACAACAACAAAAACAAGATGGTGTTGTTTGGCTACATGAATACTTTTTCAATTTTAATCTAAAACATATAAACAGGGAGGTCTTGATAGATCATAACATTTGCAGCCACATAAAGCCACGTTAATACCTCTCCATCTTCTAACTTTTTCTCCATGTATCAGGCACTCTTTTGATTTTTCAGTCTACATTAGATATTCGCCAAACATCCAAGTCATCCTTCACTTAATTTTTCCATAACTACCTCCACATATTGGCACATATCCTTATTTCTCATGTTGTTATCCTTTCTGCAAAAGTATCACATCCACCTCAATGACTCAACGTATGCTACTATTATATTATGAACATTTTATTGTTAACAATCTACTAAAGCACAGCTCATCTAATAGTCGTAATAGAACTTTCTTTTCAATTGGTAGGTGTCTTAAAACAACAAAAATTATTAGTATGAAGCTTGTTCTAATTCAAAGACACGACAAATTATGCAGCTAATAGCTGCTACCTTCTGGACTCACAGGTAATGGTCGAGAATTTAGGGTAACCAAAAGCTTTACACCCATTATATACCTCTCTGGTCCTCTTCATAATAAGACCAACCTGGATTATAGCTTTTATCATTCTATAGCTTCCACACCTGTTCTATAATTATCAGCTTACAAGAGATTGTGCTCTGAGTATTTGACTAAAATATACCAGCAACAAAGACTGTTTTGTGAGATTTTAAGGGGAGTCATATAATAGAAAAAATATAGCCTACGTAATTAGAAGGGAAAAAATATATATATATGTTTATGTTCACAATAACCCAAATCCCCATGGCAAATATGGGAATCAATTTTACAATCAAAAAACAAAAATATTTGATTAGTCAAAATATCTAGTGCAAGATTCCGTTAACATTAACTAGAATTCTCGAGCAATTCATAATGAATGCCAGATTTTTTTATGCGTAAAGAATTTAGCTGTGGGAGGAAAGGGAAAATTTATCCAATCTGAAATCTAAACATAGGCTAGTTACAGTACCTTCTCCCTTTCACTTTCAAATTTCTTCTTTTCCTCTGCTTTCTTTTTACGTGATCGATTTCTAAAATTAAGAAGCATTTAAAATGTAAAAAATCAGAAAAGAACAAGTAATCTGACCATTAGCATGATATGCAACAATAAACACCTCTATTGTAAGAGAATAAAAATAACTGACTGTAAACTGAAGTTCAAAAAGGGTTTTATAATGAAAAGCATGTAACAGCAAACCTTAATTCCTGTGCGCACAACTTCACTTCTTCGGAAATGAGACGGGGGTCGATTTCTTCAATTTCAATGTTTACTGGATCCTGCAGGCACTAGTTTCATAGGTAAACATGTATATGCATAAATTTATGCAGTGGTATGAGATGATACAATAATGTATGTCACATAAACAATTTTACAGTACTCAGATGGTGTTATTCGGTATCAAATACTGATTCATTGAAGCATATACATTATTGACATACGCAGGTTAGAGAAAACAATTCATCCATTGCAACTACTTCTCATAGAAAAGTAAGAAGAAAACAAGCACTTAACTTGGTGCATCTTAAATCTTTAACTAACAATTAAATCAGCCTTATGCCTCAATTCTAGATTTGTTGCATTACAAAAGGTCAGACCCACAATAATAAGTAAATCAATTTTCTCAATTGATACAGAACACCATATCCATTCACACAAATAAATGCAAAAGAAAGGACAACCACGAAGATGAAGAAACCTACCATTGGCATCTCATCAGTGGCTGCATCATTCTCGTTGTCAATAATCCAGTTTACAGCAGCCTCGATACTTAAATTACCTGGAAAAGTTTAGAGGTTAACTCAGAACATTATATATACCCATTATTCGTAAAAAAGTCAAGTCTCGAAGACATTTTGGAAGTTAATATTCACAGGGAAGAAATAAAGCATGCAAGAAACAAGAGAAGACCAGACTCTCAAGGGTACATGTAAGGATCACAAATCTTATGATAAAAAACTGGTTTCTTAGCAGTCTTTGGAAAGCCTAATAATGAGACATGTGTACTGCTTAAATGATTAGAACAGAAGACAGAGAGAGTTTAAAATTATTAATGAAAAGATATAAACTCTTGACATAAACTTACTTGAACGTGCAATGTTTTCAAAGCCAACAATTTTATAAATATGATCATATGAAATCAACACAAATATAGCATTTATGGCTCACACATAATGCAATGAATACATAAATTTCTTTATTTTCAATTGTTATGTTGAGGACACTAAATAACAATGTGTTTGATATCACACAGCAATAATCAATTTCAAAACCAGAATTTGAAGTAATATACAGTAAAAACTTTTCTTGTTGACTCAATTTTAAGTTTACAAGATATATTTCCTTATCATTGCCCCAGATCATGCACAGAATTTTCAATCATGCATTTGGGCATAGAAATCCTGAAATGCCTATTAGACTTTCAATTAAAAAGGGATGACATCACCTTTTTCTTAGATTGAATTTTAAAGTAAGATTTAGTATTTGGAATAAAATTATAAATGAGTCCATACAAATATATAAGCATACATCTTCTCAAAAACTAATTTACCAGAATGATGAAGGGCCTTTCTCGCTTGGGCCTCGGAAAATCCCATTGCTTCAAGTTCACTAAGCAATCTCTTGTCAACTTGCTGAATGACCATTTTTGAAGTAGAATAAACTCCTGTGATTAATAAAAATGCAAGAACTAGATTGAAGGAATCTGTGAAGTTACCAAAATCCTAAAACAGGACATGCACTGATAAAAGGAATTGCCAAATATTACACGTTGGGGTACTTATCCTAAATAGCGGCTGGTTTATTTCCCTTTTTCTTTCATTAATGAAGGTAAATCTGGGTGCATTGGTCCCATGGTCTCCAGAAGATTTACTGGTACAGTAATAAATTTCTGCCACATGAACTGTAATTTCGCCAAACAACAACATTCAGCGTCATATAATGACAGTGAACATCTGCGGAAGTGCCGTGGCAGAAGTTATGGTGATGAATAAAGCGGGAAAGGACATATATGTTAGGATGGCAACCGGGCTTGTCTGGCTCAGTTCGGAAAAAGCTCGCCCGACTCGAGATTTGGAGGCACTGAGCCAAGACTCGGGCTGAGCCCCATTTCGGGGGATTCAGCTCGAGCTTGGCCGGCCCAAAAAAAAAGCTGCCTGTTGGTAGCTATAACACTACCTGTTTGGCAGCTATTTTAGCCGACCCATTTAAGAATTCGCATCTTGAGAGCAAATTGGCATGAAATTCCAATTTTTGTTCAGTAAATTGGAAATGAATTGAAACTCCTTTTGGAAGTGGTAATCACAGTGGAAGATATTACAAAGAGGGATTGGAGAAGAAGATGAACAGTGACCTTTATTTTTTTTATTTAACTAAAATTCATTTTAATAGATAACTACTTTTTTGCCGCTTTTAAAATATAACATATATGGTCAAACTTCATTTTTGGGTCAACTGACAGGAAAATGGATGGAAACTATACAAAGGGCTTCCGTCGCAACGTTTCAAAAGGTTTGGATTGACGGTTGCAATAAATTAAAAGTTTGAGAAAAGTCTGCTAATTTTTAAAAGGTTTGAAGTCTCTACTACAATTATTCCTATCAATAGGGATTATAGACGCACCGGAGGAAACTGAAAGATTAACATGTATGCACTGGTCCCATAATCGGTTTTGTATTATGTAATGAAAAAGCTTTGGCCATAGTTTACATGTTAACACTTTCACCATCATCTTCTTTTCCAATTCTTTCTTAAATTTTCACGATCCAAATTTTGTAGAGGATTTCTACATTGCATGCACAAGTTAAATCCTTTCCCCCATATCGTGAACAAATAAGACTATTTAGTACTTGCAACACAAAATAGTCATAACTCATAATAGAACAAAACAAATTCAAAGATTTATCGTATAATATTGTCTAATAGAAGGATTCACAAACAATACTGATGGGACCATTCGATAGAATAATTAATTTTACCTTACATTGGATATATGCAGCGACGTATCAATGTCAAATCGTATGATTGAGAAGACTCACAACTCATGAAAATATAAGTGAATGACTACAGCGGAAAGGGCCAACCTAATATTATCAATTAGTAGTGCTTGGTGTTGCTGTACACCCTTACACCCCTCTCACAATGAGGGGGTCCACAATTATAAAATTCATATGGCCCCTTCACATTGTGAGAGGACTGTACACCATGGTGTACAAAAAGCTTTATTGATTATCAGTAGATAAGAAAAATTCATTCCAAATCATGAGCTTTTAATGAGAATTTATGCAGTATTAGAATTGATCAGTTTTCGGGAATGAAGGGGTCTGAGCCGCGATTGACACAAAAATGGTTCATGATGCACTACATGAAACGTACTTCTATAGTTGGATTTCTCTTTAATAATTTGTGTAAAGTATCAATCATTTTTATTTTTTTTCAAAAAGTACTTCAGCAGTTTACTTATCCAATTTCTTGGGCCTTTCCATTGTTAATTACATAGCAATACCAAGCTATTACATTTCCGTTTCACCTTTAATGTCCAGAATATACTATCATCTTCCCTCTATTGTAAACAAACATAACCTGGAATTTAAAAAAAAAAAAAATAAATGCATTGCATGGAAAGATAATATGAAAAGACAAACTGAAGACATCATCACATCAATTAGAAATTAATTTGTCATCAAACAGAAAACGTGCATAATTTCAAATAAAACAAAATAAGCCACATAACTCTTGCTAGAAAGAAAAACAAGGCAAAACAAAAGGCCCAGATGACAAAAATGTGAAAAAGAAGGAGAGATCAAACCTTTTTTGTTTGTAGAAATCCCACGATGAACTCTTTCGTGAATTTGGAATAGGAAGTATTGGAATAAATGTAGTTGAGTTTCTTGCTTAACGCGCTTGAGGAAAGGCCTCGAATGTCACAGAAGAGACCGCCATTGGAAGTTTGCAGATGCTGATTCTTTACCCTTTTTCTGGGTACTTCTCAGAATTTTGAATTTTCTGTTTATATACCTTTCTCCAGGGAAAAAAAATTAACAAATAAAAAAATAAAAAAATTGAAGCATCATCTACACGAACACAACTGTTGACACTCTTGACGACTGAATACTCACACCTCAAATGGTCGGGTATTATTTAATTCACACGGAGCCATGCACTTTGTAAGAATCGATCAATCAGATGAACAATTTCTTTTGACAACATGACTTTATTCATTTATCTAAACCTAAAAGGTTTAAATAACAATTAGCACACAAGATTAAACAATTTAAAGAATTCAACATAAAATATAATGATATTTATTATTAGTAGAGGGTGAGGATTAAAATAATAATATTCTCTGATCTTTTTCGAAGAATGTCATTTACCATTTTATTGTTCCTTGTCGACACTTCTTCAATGTTTGCAATATGTTGTACGGCAAATGACTATTTTCATAAAATGGGTAACTGGTCACTTGTTTAACATTTCAAATGCGCCATTTAACTTGCATTCAACAAGACTACTACATTCGTTTTTAACAAAAGATACATGCACAGTTCTTCATAAATCAACAGCAAAAGACTTGAAATAACATATTAATTATCTCGTCTAAAATATTTAGCCGCTAGTGAAAACCCTTTTTACACTACTGTAAATGTGTAGCCATCATGGAATGTTGATTCTTTTGCATCTTTATATATATATATATATATATATATATCAGACTTTCATCTACATCATATTTGAAGGAGTTTGATTAATCAATAATTCAATGATACAAAATTGGATACAATACAAAATATAAATAAGGTCAAGTCACTCTTCTAACTAATCCTAGTTCTATCATGTTTTCCATTCAGATTGAAAGAAGAAAATGGTTTTTGAGCTTGCTCCCGTGTGCTCATCTGAAGTAATACTGCCATCCAGCAGCTATACCAGCTACCAAAATAACTTTCAGTACAAGCTTATTATTTATTAAGGACGGTGAAGTTGATGGTGTCTCTGGAGGCTCGACCGGCCGGCCTTTCAACTTAGCAGACAATTTGGATAGCAATGAGGTCAATGGGCCTTTCTTCTTTGCAGCTGCGAGCAAAAAAGATCAGCATGCATTAAGATGGGGCGACAGTATTAGTCTGAAAGGCTAATAGACAGAGAGCACATGAATATGAAATAGATAAACAGCAAAATTCAGCACCAGACTGGTCCTTTTGTAGAGTATTAGAATTGATCAGTTTTCGGGAATGAAGGGGTCTGAGCCGCGATTGACACAAAAATGGTTCATGATGCACTACATGAAAAGTACTTCTATAGTTGGATTTCTCTTTAATAATTTGTCTAAAGTATCAATCATTTTTTTTATTTTTTTTCAAAAAGTACTTCAGCAGTTTACTTATCCAATTTCTTGGGCCTTTCCCTTGTTAATTACATAGCAATACCAAGCTATTACATTTCCTTTTCACCTTTAAATGTCCAGAATATACTATCATCTTCCCTCTATTGTAAACAAACATAACCTGGAATTTAAAAAATAAATAATAAATAATAAATATATGCATTGCATGGAAAGATAATATAAAAAGACAAACTGAAGACATCATCACATCAATTAGAAATTAATTTGTCATCAAACAGAAAACGTGCATAATTTCAAATCAAACAAAATAAGCCACATAACTCTTGCTAGAAAGAAAAACAAGGCAAAACAAAAGGCCCAGATGACAAAAATGTGAAAAAGAAGGAGAGATCAAACCTTTTTTGTTTGTAGAAATCCCACGATGAACTCTTTCGTGAATTTGGAATAGGAAGTATTGGAATAAATGTAGTTGAGTTTCTTGCTTAACGCGCTTGAGGAAAGGCCTCGAATGTCGCAGAAGAGACCGCCGTTGGAAGTTTGCAGATGCTGATTCTTTACCCTTTTTCTGGGTACTTCTCAGAATTTTGAATTTTCTGTTTATATACCTTTCTCCAGGGAAAAAAAAATCAACAAATAACAAAAAAATAAAAATAAATTGAAGCATCATGCTACACGAACACAACTGTTGACACTCTTGACGACTGAATACTCACACCTCAAATGGTCGGGTATTATTTAATTCACACGGAGCCATGCACTTTGTAAGAATCGATCAATCAGATGAACAATTTCTTTTGACAACATGACTTTATTCATTTATCTAAACCTAAAAGGTTTAAATAACAATTAGCACACAAGATTAAACAATTTAAAGAATTCAACATAAAATATAATGATATTTATTATTAGTAGAGGGTGAGGATTAAAATAATAATATTCTCTGATCTTTTTCGAAGAATGTCATTTACCATTTTATTGTTCCTTGTCGACACTTCTTCAATGTTTGCAATATGTTGTACGGCAAATGACTATTTTCATAAAATGGGTAACTGGTCACTTGTTTAACATTTCAAATGCGCCATTTAACTTGCATTCAACAAGACTACTACATTCGTTTTTAACAAAAGATACATGCACAGTTCTTCATAAATCAACAGCAAAAGACTTGAAATAACATATTAATTATCTCGTCTAAAATATTTAGCCGCTAGTGAAAACCCTTTTTACACTACTGTAAATGTGTAGCCATCATGGAATGTTGATTCTTTTGCATCTTTATATATATATATATATATATATATATCAGACTTTCATCTACATCATATTTGAAGGAGTTTGATTAATCAATAATTCAATGATACAAAATTGGATACAATACAAAATATAAATAAGGTCAAGTCACTCTTCTAACTAATCCTAGTTCTATCATGTTTTCCATTCAGATTGAAAGAAGAAAATGGTTTTTGAGCTTGCTCCCGTGTGCTCATCTGAAGTAATACTGCCATCCAGCAGCTATACCAGCTACCAAAATAACTTTCAGTACAAGCTTATTATTTATTAAGGACGGTGAAGTTGATGGTGTCTCTGGAGGCTCGACCGGCCGGCCTTTCAACTTAGCAGACAATTTGGATAGCAATGAGGTCAATGGGCCTTTCTTCTTTGCAGCTGCGAGCAAAAAAGATCAGCATGCATTAAGATGGGGCGACAGTATTAGTCTGAAAGGCTAATAGACAGAGAGCACATGAATATGAAATAGATAAACAGCAAAATTCAGCACCAGACTGGTCCTTTTGTAGTGTAGTTTTGCCATCTTGAATAGGGCTCTAAAGAAAATGGAGGATTAATCTGATAAATGAGAATTTATCTTCATATAAGGTGAACATCAGACACAGACAAATTGAAAAATCAACTAGTGTAGCACCATAATTTGGTCACACAGTTGGAAATGTTATCCATATTCAGCAAATGATGAAAGAATTCATTTCTCGTGGTTGTTCGTTAGATGATGCACAAACTATAA